GATTAAAATGTACAGCTCCTAGGCTAGAAGGTGCAGAACTATAGATCTTGTTGAACCAATCTGTTGACCACTGTGACTATAAACAAAAAGCAATAGGAATGTGATGCCTTCATTCAGATAATTCTGTCATTTGTGCACTCGTGTTTGACTCTGCTTTGGAGACATCTGTGGCATTTTACCAGAAAAAAAAAAATAGTGATGGATATGTGAATGAAAAAAACATAAGAACATCTTTGCCTTAAGGGACATCTCTTACTTTTGAGTTGTTGACCCACAATCATCAAAGAGGTGTAAGGATCAGCAGATAGGAATATGGTCTAGAAGCCAGCAGTTGCTGTTTCTATTCTCGGCTCTGCACTGTCTTACTGTAGGCCTCTGAACATGTCATTTCACATTTCTGTTTTTATTTCCTCATTGAGGCACTTTTTTTCTATTTAAGTGGAAATCATTGCAGCAGGGATTTGCACTTTGTCCTATGCTGTGTGATAGATTCTCTAGAATCTGTTGTCTCAGCTAGCTTACTTCTCCAACTGTCAGCATGTAAAGCAGACATCTATCATCACCAATTAATTGTATCTGAGAAAGTTCCTTATGCCTGTTCAAGTTGATGGTTGCATTTGTTGTCATATTGTAAAGCAACTCCCAAGCTTCTCTCTTTGCATGGAAGCTGCCCAAGCAGGTTTTTTTTTAGGAGTCTATAACCATACACTAACTTTTAAGTTCACTTCCATATGGTGAGAAAGCTGCTTAAGGGTTGGCAGATACCTATCTCATTCTCCTGTTAATGTGAGTAGTTTACACTCAGTCTCTGTGTAACAAAGAACTTGTAATTTTTAATGCTATTTCTTTATTATGCATAAACTTATGCAGAAGATCACAGTATATGCTCAATGTACTCTGTACATAAGTTCATTTTGTATAAAGTTATTCAGAAGACAAGGCTGCTCTGAAGTACAAGGTTACTTTGAAGTCATTTGGGAAGGTTTATTGAAAGTTGTATACAAAGGGTCTCTGGAGGGATTTATCAAATATTTAAGGACCACCTACATTTAGGCCAGTGGAAACTACATAGACATAACTAACCTTTCTTTCTAACTCATTTCCAAATTATCAGCACCTATCTTATAATGTGACACTTCCTCAGTTCTAGAACAAAATATTTTCAGAAGAAAGTAATCAGAACTGATATGCCTGCTTTAAGTAGGCTTGAAGTAGAGGTGATTTCTGGCAAAGCAGCACATCATAGAATGCATCAAAGAAATATATCCCAACATTTTGTTCTTAAGAAGACTTCGATATTTACAAAAATATTTTTCATTCAAAAAACAAATTATAATACCCACATTTCCTTCAGATACTGCTCAATCTACTCCCAAACTGGTGTCTCACACAAGGGATATATGTTGAGTAAAGGCTTAAGTAGCTAGTTTTTGATCGAGTGGTTTCTACTTAATCTGCTGTTCATACTTTCTTTACCACTTACAGTTGAAAACTTCTACTTCATTATAAACACATGTAATTCAACTACAAACGAAAAAACCCCAGATATTTTAAGTCCACATGGCAAAAATTTTATGTATTTCATTTATATAAACTTCCTCAAAGAAGTGTATTTTAATTTCCATGCCACTGTTGTGACAGCCTTTATCTAATCTCTAACAAGCATGTTTGCTTGTTCTTAGACAGTTGTACTTTGCTTCTCTAGTTGTTAAAACCCGATCTTAGACAAAACACTAATAAAGCCACTTTTTTTTTTAACACTCTTTAAAATATGCAGGAAATACTTCATGATCTTTTTCACTGGTTTGTTATGATTATTATTATTATTAATTACTTTTACAGAGTAAAGAATGATTTGCTGTTATTCAGCTAACAGAATACCTCCCTCCTGATCAATTTATTGGAAGTTGTCATATGTGAAAAAAGTGGAGCTTGATTTCAGTTTGTTGGAAGAAGTTTATAGCACAATTAAACCGTGTGAAGAAATCCCGTAATAATGATCCGTAGAAGGCAGGTGATTTCACAGAATCACAGATTCATTAAGGTTGGAAAAGACCTTCAAGATCATCAAGTCCAACCATCAACCCAACATCATCATGCCCACTAAACCATGTCCCAAAGTGCCATGTCCACATGTTTTTTGAACACCTCTAGTGATGGTGACTCCACCACCTCCCTGGGCAGCCTGTTCCAATGCTTGACCACTCTCCCAGGAAAGAAATTTTTCCTAATACCCAGTCTAAACCTCCCTTGGCGCAACTTGAGGCCATTTCCTCTCGTCCTATCACTAGTTACTTGGGAGAAGAGACCAACACCCACCTCACCACAACCCGCTTCCAAGAAGTTGTAGAGAGTGATAAGGTCTCCCCTCAGCCTCCTCTTCTCCAGACTGAACAACCCCAGTTCCCTCAGCCGTTCCTCATAAGACTTGTGCTCCAGACCCCTCACCAGATTTGTCGCCTTTCTCTGGACACGCTCCAGCACCTCAGCATCCTTCTTGTAGTGAGGGGCCCAAAACTGAACACAGTATTCGAGGTGCAGCCTCACCAGTGCCGAGTACAGGCGCACAATCACTTCCCTACTCCTGTTGGCCACACTATTGCTGATACAGGCCAGGACGCTGTTGGCCTTCTTGGCCACCTGGGCACACTGCCGGCTCATGTTCAGCCGGCTGTCAACCAGCACCCCCAGGTCCTTTTTCACCAGGCAGCTCTCCAGCCACTCCTCCCCAAGCCTGTAGCGTTGCATGGGGTTGTTGCGACCCAAGTGCAGGACCCGGCACTTGGCCTTGTTAAATCTCGTACAGATTTGGTAGACCCCAAGCTAGCAAATAGTTTATCCTTTTTAGGATCAACATGTCAAATTTTGGCACCAGTGCTAAATCACTAGTCATGCTTATAGCTTTGGAGGCAGAATACCTCACACCAGACAGCTTCTCTGTAGACTTTAGGATGATTTCCATGACAAATGCATATATCTTTAAAAAGGTAAGCAAATGGACCACAATATTAAATCATTATCAAAGTGAGTCCAAACCCTATAAAGATAACCCTAGGCTTTTCTTTGAAATCTGGGATTGGTGGAAAGTTCAAATAACAATGCAAAGATTGTCCTGCTGTAAACAGGAAAAGGACATAGTGTTAGCATTACAGATATTTGGTGTTTTTCCACCTGACTGTCATAATCTCTGCTTTATCCCGTCCAAGTATGAGTCATTTACTTTTCATGTGGGCCCCACTTTCCTCTGACAGTGACAAAAGGAAATGGGTATTACCTGTACCTGCTGAAGTGATGTATTATTGGCTGCTATCCATTTATAGATGGTACGGAAATCCGTTGTCTTTCACCATCTCTCCTAATGGCATCCTATAAAATATTGTCAAATATGACCCTGTGGGATTGCCAAGGAAAGTATGAGGACACGGGGGAGAGGAGCACCTGTCCTTTCCAATAATCTTTGCTCTCACAAGATGCAATGTCAAGTGGCTATTTTTTCATAAAGTTTGTGTCAGAAGCATTTCTGAGTCATTCCTCTTGCATTGATGTACATCATTGCTGTGTTTTGGGAAATACATTGGAGCACTTTTCAGGAGGTGGCATTCAAGGCAGGTGTTGAGTGAAGGTGGCCCAGGCTGATTTGCCAGTTCACTCTGTAGAACAGATTTTCTGGTGGAGTTTTATTGCTGAGCCATTTAGCATCCTCCCAGCATTTCACTTCAATTAAACATCCATGTTTGGAACAGAGCCAAACTCCCAAATGAACCTTGTCGGTTTCCTAATGTTAAAAAAACATAAAGACTTACTCTTGCAGCCTTGGCTTCGCAAATGGCTCAGTCTGCTTACACTAAGAAAACAGCTTGTTTTTAAACATGGCATAGAGCAGACTAGACTTGGGTAGATCTTTTTCTCCCCAGAACCTTCACTGTAATCTTTTCTTAATGAAACTATTTTGATTTGGGAGGAAGGAAACATTTGAGTAGTTGTATAATTTCACATTTGTTTATAACAAGTATTGTGAAGTAGATGTTTATTTACCATCTTCCTCAAACATCTGAGAATATCTGATCACTACTGGATCATCCATAGAGAAAGCTTTTCCTCCTTATTTGTGCATGTTTTTTTTCTAGTCAGTCCCCTCTTCAGGACGTATGAGCTCTAATCCTAAATTTGCCACCATCTTCAGCTCCCTGTGCCATTTCTCTGTTGTTTCTTTGACACAGTTTATGAATTGGGTCACACAGGTGAATACATGTATATGAATACATGTATATGTATATGACTATATGTTTGTATGACTATATGGTTATATGACTATATGAATATATGGATATATTAATATATTAATATATATGTATAGAACTTGAGATATTATGACCTTATGTAACATTTTCAAAGTTGGTATCGTTAGCTGTTAAGACACTCTGCATTCAAGGAGTGTAAAATTACTGTTACATCTGTGCACACAAATAGTTATTTGTATTTATGCATATAAAATGCACACATCCGTTCCTTATATGCTAAAGTGATTTCAGTGCTTTCAGACTTCCATTGCTGAAACAGAAAAAATAGTGCAACAAATTCTTACTGCAGCACTATTTTTCTGTCAGAAATTTTATGTTCATTACCTATGCACTCTTACCTCAGTTTCTAGCCATTTTGTTAACCAGTGGTAACATAATTGTTTGCTTAAATTATATCAGTTAACAGTCTATCCTCATCTTTTTCAGCCCGGGGGAGGCCTGAGGGAGGTTAATTTTCACCTTTATATTTCTGGTAGCTGGAACACATAAGTTCTCTGTCCCTGCACAACTGGCATGTTTCACTCATTAACCATTTATTTCAGCCGCACTGTCTGTTTTCTGTGGGAACTGTGAAGATTTGTGATGCTAATGTACTTTGAAAGACAGAAAACAGTCTCAGTTATTCCCTTCAGACTACCAGGCTGGTAGGAAGGCCTTTAATAACCTCAGCTTATGTTTTGTTATATGCTGTTGTTTCAGGTTCAATGGATCCAAAGGACTTTCTGAGGGAAGCACAAATAATGAAGAACTTGAGACATCCAAAGCTTATACAGCTTTATGCTGTTTGTACTTTGGAGGACCCAATTTATATTATTACTGAGCTGATGAGATATGGAAGTCTTCTAGAATACCTTCAAAGTAAGCAAGTGACTATAAACTCATTTCACAGGGTGCCACATCTGTCAGTTTGGTAAATACACTAACAGAAAGGATAGAAGTACAACACTCTGATTTAATATAAAAGCTACATATTTGTTGTGTGTGGGGATGAGAAAAGAGGAAAGAAAGTGGTTTATGAATTTTTGACATCCCAAAGTATTTGAGAAGTAGGACAGAATCACATTCATAGCTTGAGTCTTGCCTTATAATGACCTACATTTTTCCACACAGTTCTATGAGTAGATGGGAACATACACTGACAGAATAAAAATATAAGTATACAGAAGGATAGGTCATCATATTTGACATGAAATAGAGGCACTTCCACAAAATGTACTTAACAGCTTTGAAATCTATTGCTAGGCAGGGATAGCCTTTCACTGTGAATTTGTTGCATCAGGGCTTTTATCTCAACAGCACTTCAAAGTGCTCTTTTGAAGGCAAATAATAATTAAAAATAAAGTTGTACAGCCTGAAACAGACTAGCGTAATGACTGCACTTTAAGTTCACCCCCGCTATTGAGAAATGCTTGATTCTAGTGCTGTTACCCATTTTCAGTTTAGCAGATGTCTCTGAGATGCTAAATATCTCTAAAGCTGTAACGATCTCTTGAAGACAAAATGTTCATTGTGATTGTCTTGATAAATTTCTTCTCTGTCTCCAGCCCATGAGGCAAAGTCCTGTAAAATACCACAGACAGTATTTGCCATGACACAAGCCTTCCCCCATCTTCTCTGTGGAACAATTTTTTAGGTGAGGCTCAGTCCAGGGATGATTACAGCTAAAGAAATCTCTGGTAGCGGGACAGCCCCATCAGGAGCTGTGCAGAGAGGGGCTGCAAGAAGCTTGGGCCAGATCATTTAGGCATTTAGTGGCCAGATGTAACAAGGCACAAATTTCCTTTAAATTCTTGTCTCTCTTTGGTGCCTTTGTGTGCAGATTGCTGCTTCTCTGATTGAAAGGTGCTGGCACGTCAGGAAATGGTTGCTGTGCATGAAAAGGTTTATTGCCCCGGAGGAATAGCTCTGAGAAAACCAGGATGAGTCACAGCTATTGCAGAGGTGAAAACTGGCCTGTTTGTGCACTGAGTACAACATGTCCAGGACACATCAGCGCTGCAGCCTGTGTGTAGATGAGTGGCCAGCATATGCACAGCAGCTGCCCTTGCTCTGGGCAGTGAATGTATGCAGCCTGATCTTTGCCGAAGCTCTCATTCCTATAGCCCTGCATCAGAGAGAATGTGGAAAGTCAGTCGGTTTCCAGGCAGCTGTCAAGATAACCGTCAAAATGGCCGGCTGAACCCCAGCCTAGTGGTATATCTCCTTGTCTGATGGCCTATGCATAGCAGGATAAACAGAACTAAGAGGTGGAAGCAGAGATCTGGGTGCTTTGATAGGTACTGGTCAGAGAAAAGTCGATGCCATCAGGGAGAGTAATAAGGAAAGAGATTTGAAGCTTGTGTAGAGCTCTGTGACTGGAAGTGATATGTGTCGGCTGGCAGTCAGTGTACAGCTCCTGATAAGCATTCTTGAGACTCAGCCACTGCAGGAACCAGGAAAACATTTCCAAAATGTGGCTGTCTCTGTGTGCGCTATGGATAAATATGGCAAACTGGAACAGAGGGAAAGTCTAGCGATCATTCTTTGATTAAATTTCCCCTCCTAGAAACGCATATTGTGTTTTCCAGCTTTAAACATTCCTAATATTTCATGCATAGTGACTATCACATTCCACCATAATGACAGCTACTTAACAATGATGGGCATGTGAATTGCCTGTGCACCCTGCGAATGTACAGGATCGGGATACTTCTTGATGAGGACCGCTATGCAGACTTACTGAACTGCCACCAGTATGAGAAAAATGCATCTGAAAACTTTTCGTTGCTATTGGATGTGAATGAAATTGTCATAAATGTATGAGTGTTTTTATCAATTCTGATAGACCTGGGACTTGTTCTGGTGGGGATGCACTCTTGAAGTTTGTTGAATTATAACGGAGGCAATGCTCTCAACTAGAGAAAGTGCTGCTTATTTATTTATTTATTTATTTATTTATTTATTTTCAGACATCTGTCAATGAGAATATTTTCCTGTCTTTCCTGTATGAGATATTGTGGTTTATTGCTTAGAACAGGGTGCAGATCCTAAGCCTTCTTTAATATTTTTTCTAATAAATTTTTCATATAAGGGTGATAGTTTTGTCAAAAAATACTAGTAAAAAGAGACACGGAGGCATAAAATTTTCTTTATAGGATAAAGAATAAGCCGCAGGAAGGTTTTATAAATTCACCAGTAGTGGCTGGTTTTGAGCGTGGAAGTTATATCAACTTTGGTTTTTTTGTTGTAGTATTTCCTCCTTTAAAACACTTTAAAACAAACTAAAGCATATGTATACCCATATGAGTACAGCTGTAAACCCTTCCAACCTGCTCTGAACCAGCCAGATGGGACCTGGCTCTGATCTGGAAACCTTCGTAGTTGTACTAATGCAATGCTGTGCTTAAACTTGCGTGCTTTGGCTGGCCCAAGCTGGGAATTTAGAGGTATAGTCAGAGACTATAGTCGTGCAACAACCATACATGATTTGCACTTCAGGTCCCAAAGAGTCTCATGCTTCATCTCTTTGCACAGTTTGCAGCTCCTGATCAGCTGAGGCTCCTCCTTTCAGCTTTCCCTTCTTTAGCTACAGAACAGCAGCAGTGCAGAACCAGCTCACAGAGAGAAACCCTCCAAGAAACTGCAGCAGCCAGGGCAACGGTGGCCTCTTCTGCCCCCTCAGCCCACAAGCTAAAGGCAGTAGGTCAGCCTGGCCTGGGATCCCAAGCAGGCCCCAATGGAAGAAATACTCTTTGAGCTGCAACTCGACCATTAGAGGTGGATCTCATCTTTGTCCTTTAACACGGTGCAGCTGTGTGTTCTGCAGGGAGTAAGACAGGGATGGCTTGGCAGCTCTGTCTCCTATTCTGCACTGAAGCAGCTCATTAAACATAAGGCATGTGAGTCACCCTTTTTTGCTGTGACATTGCTCTGTTCTGCCTCTCGGAGCAAGCTGGTATCAGGCCAGCCTGGAGCATCAGCAAAGCAATGACAAACCTGTGTTCAAGTCTGGCTGCAACCTTGTCTGCTTTCACCAGGAGGTACTTCATAGCCTGTGCAGATAAAGGAGCAGTGTGAAAGGGAACAAGGAGAGAGGGGTTTTTAGCTGAGTCACATAAGCTAGTTTCTAAAACCCAGGTACTCATTCAAGGTACTTTTATGTATTTAGTTATTTTCTGATTACAAACAACATAAGGATCATTTGCAGATTTATACCTTCGTCCAGCAAGCTGAATAATAAATGTTGATGTCTGCCAGTTATCAGAACTGCAACACTTCAGAGTGTGGTATTATTCCGTGGCCTGATGATGGATTTTCTTGATGGTTAAGCCATGGATTTTCACATAGCCTGATTTTTCTCCCTCTCTCTTTTAAAAGTCAAGGCAGCTATTAAACAGATGTGTGGGAGAGGAAAAGACTTTCTGAGTCAACAAAAGAAGTAAATAATCTTGGTGCTGGATTATCATGACAATGGGTTTAGCCTCCAAAAGGAAGTAGGACAATACACCTACAGGGCAAATTTAATCATTTAACACTCATTTCTTTTACCTATTCATCTCAGAACATCCAGATGAGCAGGAAATTCAAGGCCTGCAGATTGCAGAATAGATTAGTAAACAATGGAATTTCACACTCTTCATAAGGCGTGATTGCAAGGCTAGGTCAGATAAAATGCCAGAACTGAAATAGGCTATGCAAAACAACACTAAGACACACTTTCACTACAAATCAATTCAAAATAAGCAACAGAATACTGCCAGCTAGAAAAGTTTTATTTCTTTAACACAGACACAGTCAGGAAAAGTCACCATTCTCAATGAGAAAGGAGAATTGCCAATAAACCTAGCAGTAAACACTCAGCTTTTCGATACGGTTATGGTTCTGAAACAGAAAGCTGAAACTGTTCTGAGTATTAGACACTACAGAGGTAGGCAGGCACTCATGCTTCAGTGGAGCAGCTTTTGGATTTGGGTGACAGTGATGTTTGAATTTGGCTTGCCTGGATTACCTTGGGGTATAAATTCTTCGCTATGAGGAGGTCAGCTGTCCCCAAAATGCCACAAAGGCCCTGAATTTGACTTCTAATGTATTATACCCCAATGACTTTTCTTTGGTACCTGTCTTACTAGTTATGGCTGCAGTTTTTCATGGCCCTAAGGCTCTTTTCTTCATTTGTGGAGGCAAGTTGCTCTGCTCAAAGTTTTACTACTTTGTTTGGACAGTTGATCTTTGATTGTCCAATTTCTGTCTCTGGGACTTGCTGATCTTACAGTGGTGAGAATGGCATGTACATTGCTTAAGAGAATCAGGCAGCTTGAAAGCTGCTCAAGGAGTCCTACTCTTGAGTACCAGCAACAGAGATAACAGCGTGAAGCAGTCAAGTGGACTGGAAAGTGACAATTAGAGTTACACTTGAGATCAGATGGTATACTTCCTAGTAAGAATCATTGGAGAAGAGAGAACCAGCATAATTTTGTGCATTTCCATCTTCAGTCAGCTTTGGTTACACCCAGTGAGTATTGACATTAACTCTTACTCACAGTTTGGAACCGGTTATACACTTGTCAGAAAGGCAAACATCATTACTACCAGTAGATAAATGCCTTTTTCTTTGGACTATATCAGATCTCCTTCCAGGTCTAGACCAGCTGCTGCATTTAGTAGCTACTTTTTTAGAGAAAACGGGACAGGCATTGTTACTCAGTCGTCATAAGAATAGCTGCATGACTTTAAGTAGTGTCATTCACTACCCTCTGTCATTTGGTCTAGCTGTTACTTTATTGTACTACACAGTTTGGTTGATTTATGTTGGCTGTTTGAACCAGTCAGCTCTTATGTTATTTATATGTGACTACTGTAAGTATTATGTTAACCTTATAATTTGCTTTTTAAATAGAAGATGCAGGCTCCCAGATCTTCCTGCCACATCAAGTAGACATGGCTGCTCAGGTGGCTTCTGGGATGGCTTACCTTGAATCTCAGAACTATATCCATCGCGATCTTGCAGCCAGGAACGTCCTTGTTGGTGAACACAGCGTTTACAAAGTGGCAGACTTTGGACTTGCAAGAGTTTTTAAGGTGGGTTGTGAGAGGGTGAGTTGGCTCTGATTAATTCTGGGGAACAAGGTGGAAGACGTCAACTAAAGGATGAACGGTAGCCTCTGAATTGCTGCGTTCAGGCAAAGGCATGCCCAGGAAGAAAAGGACCCCTAGCGTGTTCATTTATATCTTTTACCTGCCTTATCCCATGCAAGGTTAGAAGCTGGCCTGTGCTTTTGTGTCAGTCTAAAGATGGCATCTCAGTGTCTGCTTCCCACTCAGCCACCAAAGAAGAAGCCTGGCAAGCAATACCCTTTGCTGCACAACATTTATCCACAACAGTAATGTCTAGCACATGGAGAGAAATCACAGGAATGATGGCAAAATTATGTTCCTGAGCCTGTAAGGGAAAGGGTATAAAAATGTATTGACAGCTATTGCGTCCTTGTTCACGTCCCCACTGCCTCCATGATGCTTGTGAGTGCAGGCAGTCATCACAAAAGGACCTTATTGCTCTCCATGACTAACAACGGAGTTCATAAGCGAGCTCTCAGAGATTTAATTCTGATGCAATTTCAAGTTCTTTGCCATTGCACTGTTTTTTTTCTCTAGCCCTTGAGGATGTGGAATGCCAAGTAACGCTGACCAAGATCACCCTAAGAGTGAGCTGTGGTTTAGAAATGAGATTTCCTACCTCTGAAAATTATTTGATCAAAGTTGGAAAGATTTGATTTGCCATATTTTATGGATTTCAATATATAATCCATAATTTCTGAGGTCTTATTATTGTTTTTATTGATTTATGTTCTTGCACCGAGAAGGAAAAACAGAGAAAAAAGCCCTCTGCTTCTCATTTGTTTTTTTCCGTTCAAGCAGCAGAAATTGAAGTTCATAAGAGAGTTGGATTTATTACATACTGAAGTATAGAATAATGGCTTGACAATGGCATCAAGGGACTTTGAAAGTACTTTTTGCTTAATTTTGATTCTTCTAGTTATGCATAAGTTCAGATTGCACATTTTTTAACATGAAAAATATATATTTTTAAATGAACGATGCTTACAATGGGTACTTCTCCTCTGTCCTCACTAGAGACTGTAATAATTTACAGGTGTTGACATTTCTTGTTAAAACTGAACTTTACTAAAATACTCTGTCATAGAGTGATCTTGGAAGACTTTCTTAGGAATATTCTGTCTCCTAAGCCAAAGCACTAACATGGTCACATGCAAAGATCCCAAAGGAGTAGGTGTGAAATCTGTATTTCTATATGCATTAATTAGAATAATGAAATAATTTCTTGTTTCTAGAGATAAGTATTATGGTCAAGATGCCAACTGTATCAGCATGTAGACACAAGACACTAACAACCAGTCTTTTAAAAACTATCAGACATTACAGCTGGCAAATGTACATTCTGTATTAAAAAAAATCAAACAAAATCTTGTACACATTTGCCTGGATTTGCCTGTGAAAAACCTGACCAAGGCTTGCATGTGACTGATGTACACTAAATTACATCTAGGAATTAAAGGGACAATAAATGTCCACAAAGTTTGGATGTCTGTGCTATAAAACTTTAAGGACATGATTCTACAAATTTGTAAGTAAATAATTTTTCTTTTTCTATGTGTCATTCATCTTCACTTTACATGAATTAATTGGACCCACTGTAAGTTAATATGTTAATTTGAATCACTTGGAGTTTGTTCTTTGGTCCCCAAAACCTGTTTAAGTGATTGCTATCAAAGTCAATGGCCCTTCAACACCGAAGTAAATCACAGAAGAAAGGTTCTGAAATTCATTAGCTCTTGCTCTTCCCTTCTCTGTTTACTGAAGACCTGATGTGGAGC